GAAATAGCGCGGAGATGTTTCAGTGGCGCCTCCTCGTGGTTTCCCTTGACGATGCCATTACACGGATTTGCCTCGACGTGACGTCACGAGCTGTAATTCTGAATGCTTAATATAAGTTACGAGCAAGTTCGATGGCGTATGTAAAAACAAACAGCGAAAGCTTGGTTGGAGCCATCGCATTCTTACACCAACAGAGTCAAAGTTGACTCTGTTGTAATAGGATGTAATAGTTAAAGGCTCTTGTGACTTTAGTCCTAGTGAGTGTTTTGCCAATCGTGGAAGGCCGACCATAGCGACGCTCTTGGTCGCGCATGTCGTCAAAAGTTAGTTGCCCTTTGAGCCAACACGTGAGCGCGTGTGTCGATTCCGCGGGAAGCGAAGAGACAGTCAACGCGTGAATGGTAGACGGGACACATTTTCTTTTTCCTCTCTCGTTTTTCACCGTGTGCTCGATCCGGTTCGCCTGTCTGCGCAATGGGGTCACAAGGACAGGACTATTTGCAAACCAGTTCACGCCACTTCGACGCAGTTTCTGTACCGGTGGCGCCGTCTGCCGTTCAGCTCGTAGGACGTGTGCAGCTGAATCTTGCGACCTCTGATTCTTCGCTCAGAGGTCGCAAGATGTGTATGTATTGCTTTCATCGTCTTCAAGGTTGTGAAAACGGTGCCCGCCCCCCCCCCCCCCCCCCCCCACAAGTTTTTGTAATGTTTTTGTTCGTTTTTGAATACTGGTCATGTTGTTGACCGTACCGGACACATTGGGCGTCTAAGCAACAGTGAAAGAAAAAAGGTGCCAAACTGAAGGTGGGAAAACGCAAAACTCCCTCTAATTTTCTTAGTTATTTCCCTGGTAAGTGAAGGCTATAAATAAAAGAACACTGAGTGATTAACAGGGTGGGATATAAAGTGTTCCAGCATATACTACACGTTTGGATTTGATGCCGGCACGTAAACGTGAGCACAAAAAAAAAAAAAATAATAACAGCGTGGGAGAAAAAACTAGTAAAAAGAAGGGAGAAGCAAAGCAGCGACGCCTCAGGGGCACGCCCTTTGTCAGGCTACAGTAATCTCTTGGCGTTGAAATAGTGTTATATAGTTTTAGAAGTAGCGACCGTCTAGATTTCGTAGTGTCTAAACAAAAGCATAAATCCAACTACTGGACATGAAAGTTCTCGCTCTTTACGGTAGGTCTTGTACATCATATATGGAAATAATTGCATAGCGTTACCACAGGCTACAACACGCACGGCAGCGCTCGTCACAGTGCAAGGTACCGATCCCACTCGTACGGCAGCCTGCGGTGATGGAATCCCGGACAAAACATCACCGGACAAAAGCTCACCGGACGGAAGCTCACCGGACAAAAACTCACCGAACAAAAACTCACCAGAAGAAAATTGCATGTTGGTCTTAACACGAGTGCGGACAACTTCGGGGCATGCGTGCGACACTAAAATGCTACAATAAATAACAGGCGCATGGTTTGTTGATTAGTGTGGAAACAAGTTTATTTATCGATTGGTAAGAAGCGAATGCGGTTCCCTACTATCTCCAGCTGTCTTGGTCGATCTGGGTGTACCTCGAACCCCTCGCAAATATATTTCAGACGAATGTGCAGGCGCATAGTGGGTTTTCGCACCCGCTTCACGGGAGCTCACCTCTCCAGGCTTCTGTCAATGCCGTGGCGACGAGCCCCTGATCTTGCTGTAGGCATTCAATCAGCCTCCAGACGCTTGGATGGGCGTGGCCGACAGGCTTCTGGAACCCGTTATTCCACCTGTTGTACACCCGTGAGCGATATGAAGGTGAACAGCCCTCTTCTTGTTTTTGACGCTCCTGCAAGTTTTGGAACAAGCTCGGTTCCAGAAGAGGGCTAGAACGCAAAGTTTAGACCCCCAAGCCACGTACCATTTGAGACGTTGATAGTTAATATAGCTTTAGGGAGCCATGAAACAGGCAAGAAACCAGGTAGGGTGTTCACATTCATATTGCCGGAGGGTGTACGTTCCTCCAGTCTTTATCCTGAATAGTGGAGTCGTACATATTCCACCGTTCTGGGGGAAACTCCGATCGTCGTCGGCGCACAGTCAGGCAAACGGAAGAATTCGCTCTGGGTGCTGCCGCAGAAGGAGCAGAAGGAGCACGAAAGGGGTCGTTGACATACGTGCAATCAAGTAGTACAGGAGGTCGCTGATGTCAAAGGTAGACTTTTCCCTGGTGCAAGTTGGTCCCTTGAAGAGAAGCTGTGGTGGAAGGAACGCCAGCCTATCCAAAATACCGCACGTCTTTCCAAAGTGGTCATCTGTCTTGTACATGTCCAAAAGGCCCAACACCCGTTCCATCGAAATATATATACATATTTTTTTTTAAATTCGCAACTCAATGATTTGTATAATACAGTTTTGCTTCAGTTTCGATATCATATCACCCTGAGATCATTCTTAATTTAAAAGACATTTACGAAGCGCAATGAAGGAAACAATATAATTGCCTTAGCCATTCATTTCAAATATTAACCTGAACCCCACAAAAACCCATGCATTAGTAATGAAGAGACAGTCTGCCTAACCTTCATGTGTACGTTTAGCGTGACATATGCACAATGCAAAAACGAGGTCACCGAAGGGTGACTTCGCTTCTTAGGTCACTCCTTCGGGATGAAAACCTCGATTCACGAAATTTCTACGGCGTGGCATAACGGTTCTCCGGCATACCTTGAGTCAAGCAAGCCATCTTATCAGCTCCACTCAATTTCGGTCACCTAAATTTTTTCCGCCTGTTATGGCTTATCTATTGACACCTTTGCATGGTATGGGGTACCACTTCTAAATATGGTTCAATGTCCATCGTGTCCGCATTATATCCCAGCCCGAGCTTCGCCCTTGTAGCAAAAAAGAAAAAAAGAGAGGTGAGCTTTTATTTATTTATTTATTGAAATACCTAAAGGTCGTTTTGGGAAGGACATTACATAAATGGGGGGGGGGGGGATAAGTACATCATATATGAAACCCACAAAAAATGATAAAATAAAAGCATGCACAGCACTGCAAACATATATAATATCGTAATTTAAGCAACAAAAAATAAAATCTTCCGCAGTATTGCCAACATACAAGACATCGTGTCATACAATACCTAAATGGCTGCTGATGAGAGAACGAAAGCTGTCAGGGTTAATCTCGATGACGATGCGCTCTGTTAGATTATTCCACCACGCTGTTGTTTTGGGAAAGAATGAATACAAATAAAAATGAAAGCCGTTTACAACTCCCTGGAGCGCCGGATTAGAGCGCAGCTCTTGAGGAGGATGAGGGGAAGCGTACTGAGGGGAAAGTATATCTTTCCTCCCTCCTCCTCACCTCCTCATCCTGTCTGCTACTCCTCCCTCCGAGCGGCGTCGCCGTCGCCTCAGAAGGGTCACGTGACCTCACGGGGAGTCACGTGACGTCACAGGGGTCACGTGACCTCACGGGGGTCACGTGACCCCTATGAGGTCACGTGACAATGACGTCATCAGTCCGATGACGATGAGGATGCCGATGACGTCATCAGTGACGTCATCAATGACGATTCAGATGTCGATGACGTCATCAGTGACGTCACTGATGACGTCATCAGGGACAATGACGATGCGAATGCCGATGACGTCACTGGTGAGGACATCAGTGACGATGCCGATGACGTCACTGATGACGTCATCAGCGACGTCAGGCGTCCCATAATGCACCGCGGGGTTACGCCGACGGCGACGCCGACGCAGCTCAAGCCGGAAACCGACGCCTAAGAGCTGCGCTCTAAAAGAAGAAGTGCGGCAGGTGAAACGGTCAATCTTACATGAGTGATTAAGACAAGGTGTAACGAAATGCGACTGTGTTAGGGAGCTTTGGCTGAGAGATGGTGCATAGTAAATGCGATGAAAAAGGCATAAGCAAGAAAGCTTGCATCTTAAGGCCAGTTCTGGAAGGTCGGATTTCTGTTTTAATACGGTGACGCAGAATGTCGTGAATAATCAGAAAAAATAAAGCGCGCGACACGGTTTTGAAAGGCTTCTATTTCAGCGATCAAAGATGCCTGGTGGGGATTCCAGATGCTCGATGCGTACTCAAGTTTCGGCCGAATCAATGAAAGTTATGCAGTTTTCTTTAAGTGAGGAGGAGCACAACGCAGTGTATGTTTTAAGGAGCCCACAGAACGATTGCACGATGATAACAGTGAACGAATATGTACTTTCCAGGAGAGATGGGAGTCGACGTGAACACCTAAGTATTTATAAGATGAAACAGACTCAACAACGTTAGAATCAATGAAATAGTTATGAAAAAAAAAGGTATCTTTCCTAAAAATGAGATGAGTTTGCATTTAGAAGGGTTAAGCTTCATGAGTCAAGTAGAGCATAACAATGATAAGTTAGTGAGGTCATGTTCTAGTTTCATGCTATCTTCTTCGTTAGAAATGTGCCTATATCTAACGCAGTCCTCTGCAAAAATACGGTTGCGGGAGGAAATACATGAAGGTAAGTCATTAATATATATATAAAAAAGCAAGGGTCCAAGGACGGAGCCTTGAGGAACACCCGAAGACACAGGATTACAAGTTGAACTATGAGAGTTCACGACCATGTACTGACTTCGGTCAGAAAGCCAGTCTTTGATCCGCAGGATGATGTTACTATCTAATTTTAGATGGGTAAGTCTTTTGTCCGGGTCTGTGAAAAAGCGGGTGAGTTTTTGTCCGGTTACTGCGGTAACGCTATCTTAAAACTTCCTATAGTCTCAAAAAAAAAAAAAAATCCCAAGCAGTTTTTTTTATCGCATTCAGTAAGATGGCGGCAGTATCCGATAAGAGAGCCGAAAAATCAATGATGAAGAAAGAAGCGTGAACATAATAAACAACGCCCGGCGTTTCTTAAGCTGTCGGCGACTAAAGTGTGTATAACAGCAAAGTGGAAGGTATGTCTTGCGGTAAGCCTCGATATTGCGGCCGTGCCTCGATGCAGATAGCCTGGTCCCGGACGTGGGCCGTTGGCTGCGGCTACTCGCTCTTCACCAGGGACCGCTGGTTCATCCAGTCCTACGTCTGCAACTACGGACCCTCGTGAGTTCACAGCGACGGGACATCGGGGAGAGAAGACGGCATTATGTTTACCTCAAACGGCACTAGGTGTACTTTACAAAGTACTCAGTTTATGTGAGCCAAAACAATGTTCGTATGGCTACCCAATCTGGCATCGTGACCTCAAAGAGGAACCACTTGGAAACACTCGGAGCGGCAACTGATATTTCGAGAATTAGCTCGCCCTAAAGGCCATTTTAGCGAAACGTTGGCAATCATTCTGAGACTCCCCAGGAGCAGTTTCTGTTTTATTATTTTCGAGCTACATTTAAAGTAGTCTGTTTTTTTTTTTTTTTTTATTATTATTATTTTTGACGAAGCCTTGGCTACGCGTATAACTACATCCATGTTACTCAAAAAAAAATTTTTCTTTTGCTTTGAAGTTTTTTTTTAGTTACGTAAGAAGCTTCTGCGTTATTGGTTTGTACTGATAAACACTAAAAAGATACACAACAACCAACAATTAGGTATCGAAAGACCCATGAAAATCGGGGTAGAAAAAAAGTCCAGATCTTTGCTGTTTGTACAGACGAGACAGAAAACTTGCTTGAACTCTAAACGCACGCGTTTCTCTCTCTCTCTCTCTCTCTCTCCCTCTCTGTCCCCCTAATGAAGAGAGGACGAGCCTCTATGCCACTGCCCATCTTGTCTTGAAGTCGGGGCATTTTTTTCCCATCGGTTTCGAGATAAAGCCAGAAAGCTCCCATGCGTTTAGGGTATACGTATTCGAGTTCTAGCATTTTTTGTTGTTGTTTGCAAATTTCAATCAAGTTCTCGCACCGGCTTTATGTTTGCAAGATGATAGTGTTTTTTTTTTTTTACTTTGTCCTTGGAAGTTTATTGTACGCGCAGGTTTTGTTTTGTTTTGTTCAGAGCCGGGTTTCTCTGCCCAGCACTCCTGCCACTCGTTAGACGCAGATGTTGCTGATTTTTATTATGATAAGAATCAGCTCTAGAAGGCGCTGGAAGGCACGAAACATTAAGTTATTTTTTACACGGACATATATTTAACTGCAGTTACGTTTCACCACAATTACACACTATACTCTCTGCAGCCATTTTAGAAGTGAAGAGTGCGCATGCACACCTTTACTGGTTGCTCAAGATGCGCTTGCACACGCGCGTCCATACCTTTGATTGCATAGCCTAAGAAAGTCGTCCACGGGTATACACCGTTCCAAGTTGGGCTTCCTAGCCGGCGCCATTTTAACGAGTGTAGCGCCGCCTACCCTCATCCGGGCATTTGGGAGAATCTGAACCCGCCCGAATGACCGACCGCCATTACTGGACTGTTACCCTGCTCACCGAGTCACACCGATCGCAACTGCTTCTGCCGGCACGGCTGCCGTATTGGGCGTCCTCGGCTCATCGTCTTCGTCCACGGAGGAAAGCATTATCCTAATTTGTATGTCAGGCATGGGGAAAAGTGCATCCGGCTTTCCTGGCATCTTTTTGTGGGTAATTTTTAGCGCGGTTCTGGGGCAGTCGTCGCTCCCATACCGAACTCGGCGTTTCGATCGCTAGCGAAATTGGGGATCACTAGTGAAATTGAGGATCGCTAATTAAATTGAGGATTGAACGAAGCCAGGATGGCCCGAATTACGGCATGTGAACTTGCGTTAAACTCGAATTGTCGCAGCTTGGGGTGCCGGGAACATTTTAACTGCGTAGAACTGCGCGGTTAGCGGCTCAGACCTGCGCTGCCACGTCTGCTTTAATTGAAATAGTAGAAACGTCAAATTTAAATATGAATCGATATATAAATACCGAGTACAAATAGCAAGTGCGACGGATCCGTTTTTTTTTTCTGATTTGGAATCTACTGCTACAATATTGGCACATTGATGTGCCTCTCTGTAATCGCCTCGCGTGAGAATCATTTGTGCGGAAACTCTGTCGCGGCGTGTACTATTAAATGAGTAGACCAGGAGTCACGCAACTGTTTTCTTTTTTCAATGTCCAAGCCGCCCTCCGCTTACCTTTCGGTCGTAGCCCAGGCGAAGGAACGGCACGGGGTTCTCCGCAGTTCGCCGGCCGCCCAAGAAATGGTCGGAGCACACACGACTGCTCTTCGATGGCAAGAAGTCTTTCCCGTTTAAATTCGCCAGCCACCGGTGTCGTAGGTCCGGAGCAGTGGGGAGCCGGTGCAGCATTAACATGCCGCACCCACATTCATCCTGTTTGACAGCGTGGGTCTCGCACACTAAATCGGCGTTTATATTACTTTTTTTTTTTTGGTTATTTGTATAACCAATTACAGCACAGCGCTGCCCGATCGATTATTTTTTTACATAGGCCATGTCACGCGCGAAAACACGCTATAATATCAAAAGCGGCGCCTAACATTGTCGAAACAACTTGCCTCCGTACACTGCGCACGTGCTTTCTAACGGTCCACTTCGTGAAGCAGACGAGCTATCGAGGGAAAGGGTAAGCGGAGCGTTGGCGCAGCGCCCTGATTTGAGAGTGTTTTTCCCTTTCTGCATCGACCTACCTGGAACGGTGTATAGTGTCGTAACTATGGTTAAGCGTAACCGTAGTTACGTGTGCCCGTGTAACGAGGGTATTACAAAATAGAAAGTGTAATTTGATCACTCTTGCTACAGGTCGATTGACCAAGCTTAGTTAATTAAATTCATTTTAAGATCGGCCGAATACTTTTACTCTGAACCGCTTGACATTCGTAGCTTGTGCTACATGAGATTTGATCACTCCGTTAAGAACTTGTTCAAGCTGTATCAAAACTGATAAGTACAATCGGCACATACAAAAAAAAAAAAAAAGAGCAGTCCATAGCTGCGACACGTCACGGCAAACTCGTTGCACATTGAGCCATTGGCGTCGCGTTCACGTACCGTGGTGTGCGTGAACAAAAGCGTTGGTTACCGAATAGACATCTGACCATTTTGTTCCGAACGCTTTTGTTTTTCTATTGTTTCGGGACGAATGAAAGCGCGTCTGTCGGCACGAGCTGTTGATATTGACAGTGCTTTGACAACATTTTGTTACCGGCTGTTTTTTTTTTTTTTTTCGTTTTTTTTTTTTTTTCAAAAAGCGCGTGCTGTTGGAATCGGGTACTACAAACCCTTAATTATAGAGCGGCTTGTTAAGGCTGTGGCGTAGCTCAGAAGCCCGAGTGGCTGGGCATCCGTAAAGCTCTGCTCGAGATGCGAGCATTTTAATGTGTGCTGGAAAAGATTTGCAGTTCATTTTTAATGCAAAGTAACATTTTGCGTTTTCTCGCAATAAAAATAAAATAAAAAAAGCGGTGGCGTAGTTAAGTGGTAACGCCTCCGCTTCGCACGCAGCGGGCACAGGTTCCATTCTCAATGGCGACGGGCTCTATACAACTGCAAGATCAACAACGGACGTCATTTCCAGTTGCGGAAAGAGCACGCAACATCTGTCGCTGTAAAAGAGTAGCACGAGAGAACAGCTGGTACGGTGAAGTAGCCACACGCGACGCTGCGCTGTCTCACAAAGACGCAGAGAGAGAAGGTATAGTCGGGCCTAGACGAACTGTAGAGTCGTTTCATTCGTTTAAGCTCTTTTTGCGCTACTGCACACCAGGTGTCGCCCCTTTTGCCGGTCAAGCAATTGGTCCTTTGTGCTAGTCTTTTTAGTGTCGATTGTACAGGGTGTCACAAAAGAAAATTTACACGGTCTTTTTTATCGCAAAAATAAACTAGGCATCGCCGAATGCTCATTCTCCGCCCAAAGGAAGAGCTAGAGATCACAAACAGATGCCAAAGTTTCAGCCCGATCCGATAACTTAACCAAAAGTTATAAGTGATTTTCTGAAAATGTCCATGAAAAATGGAATCCATTTTTGTCCTTTTTCGGTTTTTGGTGCCATAGAGCCTCATGTGTTTGAAAACTCCGTCGGCCGCCATTTTCCCATTGAAATTTTCAGAAAATCACTAATAACTTTTGATTAACTTATCGGATCGGGCTGAAACTTTGGCATCTGGTTGTGACCTCTAGCTCTACTTTTGGGCGGAGAATGAGCGGTCGACGATGCCTAGTTTATTTTTGCGGTAAAAGAGACCGTGTAAATTTTCTTTTGTGACACCCTGTACTTGTATATTCGTGCTGCATCAAATTATCTCCTTACTTCTCAAAATATGCACGCTTTGATGGTGTCTTTTTTCTTTCAATATTTCTTGGTACTTCTGAATTTGTTACAATACTTTAGAAAGAGATAGACAAGGAGAGAAAATAAATGAAGGCAGTGGAGAGATTGGCAGCCTTAGAAACGGTGCTGGTCAACTCCGTTCACCAGCGCTGTTTCTAAGGCTGCCAATCTCTCCACTGCCTTCACCTATTTTCTCTCCTTTTCTCTCCTCTTCCAGACTGGTAAACGTTCAATCGCCGCTCTTCTTCCTGATTGATGTATTTTAGTTTATTTATTCAAATCTGCCAGCACAATCCTTTAAAGGTTGTTCCAAGACACTACAATAAACGTTTTATTGATTGATTGACTTAATATGTATCGATCCGGCGACGTTTGATTGGTTCATTGGCTCTGTAACCTCTAGCGGCTGTCTCCACAATAGCAAACTGGCTTCTGGAACGAGCCACGTTAACGGACGCTTCTCTTTCAACGTTGTTCTTTCAATATTATTTTTCTGCGCGCAAACGAAGGGTTACCTTAGCTACTTCAGATCTTTCTCTGCTCTGAAGTTGATTCGATAAACGGAGACGCTTAATGTGATAACTCCTCGAGAAGGATGGCATTGGTGTATGTGAAACCCACAGGGGCAACTACCTGGGCAGCCGAATGTACCGGAAAGGTAACGCTTGCACACGATGTCCTCCGGGCACCCGTTGCATGGGAAACGTCACCGCAGAAGCCGAGGTGCACAAGTTCGGCATGCTCTGCAGTGAGTACTGACTTTAGTTAGCCTCCATGTGCCACGACCACGGTGGAAGAAACACATTTAGGTGATACCACTGGCCGCTCTTCCAGCAGGGAGCGAGCGAACA